ATATGGGGGCTCCAAGCCCCCCAGATGAAAATCCGCCCTGTTTTTTTACAAAATGTTCAGATGAATATTAAAGTTCTTCGTGCAAAATTAGAAAACTTTAGTTCTATTAGTTTCCCATATAAATGAATTTTTGTAATTAATTCGTATGAGAGGTACCGCTCCCCTCATTGGTAGTCCGCCAATTTATAACCCGAAATGTTTACATGGATGTTAATGTTCTTCGTGCAAAATTTTAAGATTCTAGTTGTAATAGTTTCCAAGATAAACGAATTTGTGAATTTAATTTATATGGGAGGTGCCACGCCCTCTGCTGCTAGTCCGCTTACTTTTTATCCTAAATAATCATATTTACTCTACAAAATTTCCGACAAAATTTGATGACTCTGTTATATTATCTCAGATATACTGATTTAATATTTTCTTAATATGGCACCTCGCCCACTTGCAATTTAAAAATAAAAAGTAGCCTATAACCTCTTCCAGATATACTGTGCAAATTTCAAGAAAATCGGTTCAGCCGTTTAGTAATCTATAAACTTTAAATATACAAACATATAAACATACAAACACACATTAATTTTTATATATATAGATGTATTAAGTATTGCTTAATATGCTTGCAAGGAATATTTCCATAGGCAAATAAATAAAAAAATATTTGACCCTAACTCCCATATAAAGACTCTTTTATAACTTTTGTTTTTCATAAATTGCTTAAATACATCAGAATTAAGGTAAAATTCAACATAAAAGTTTCTTTATGTCCGACTATACTTTCCTACTTGTTTTATATCAAATCAAAGTACAATCCTCAAAATTTTGTTTCCATTTTTTTCGAAAAAATTTTTTTTGTTTTGAAAACATAATCTTAATTATATGTTATTAGTTGTGTTTCTTTCGAAATTTATATAAATTTTCAGTACAAATTTAAGTAGGTATAAATTTTATAAGTAGCGATAGCGATACCTACTTAAAAATTATCTGCCTTATTCATAACAATTTATCAAAGGTTTATTGAACAAATTTTGTATGAAAATTTGCCTTATTAACCTGTGATAAATTGTTATGAATAAGGCCCTAAGTATGGATAACAATGCTCCCAAGTTTTAAAAATATATATGGTTTGTGAATTTGATAAGAAAAATTAAATTGCCAGATAAAAAATTTCAAAGCAAATTGGAAAGAAAATTTCAAATTTGTTTGATTTTTTTTTATTGTGGAAACATTTTTTAAATTACTTTTTGTCCAAACTAAACAAAAATTGAGTTGCTGTCATATAATTCATGTTAAGCAGTCATACTGTTTTATTCGAAGTTTTTATAGATATACATTTTGAAAAAAACACAGCAATTATTATGTATGAATTCATAGTGAATGTGTTCAAATTGCTTAGAATTTTGTTTTTTTGGGAATTTATTTTTGTGGTTAGGAAATCCGTATTTAGGTCGTAAAATTGTATATCCTTAAAATATTTGAATGCGCTCCGGGAAGTTTCCTATATAAAATCAGCAAAATAGGTTCATATATAACGGAGATATCAGCAAACATCCGAGACAACCTCTAAAAATTTCATCAAAAATTTCGATTTTTCTTTCATTCTCAGACAGAAATTATAAACCAAAGAATATAAAGAAGTTGGACTGCGACATTGTTTTACAACAATAACATTTCACTCTCTTCACAGACGAATTCTGTGTAAATTCAACACACATGTGAAAACTCAATTAACTCACAATGCTTCAAAACATTTTCTCAAAAATACCAGGATAACAGGACTTGCAAGCAATTTTATCGCATTTAACAACCCGAATTATTTCTATTTTTCACAAACTCAAAAAATATTTTTTTTTAACAGATTTTTTTCCAAAAAAGAGATTTAAAGTCCGAAAAATTTATTAAATGTTTACTGATCAGATGTAAACAAAATAAATTGAATAATCTGCGAAAGTAGAAATTTAAATGTAATATATTTTTCTGAAAATTTTAAGTACGATTTTTTGCAACTATGTATGTTTGGAATCAGTGGTGAAAGTGGCTGGAGCTCCAATATTTATACAAAAATTCTACTAATACATTCTTAGAGTTAGGTACCGAATAACAACTCCTTTGGGTACCAACTGACAAGCCCCAATAAACAACAACAACAGTACGGTAAATTTTGTTATTGTATGTAATTGCTTATTTACAAAAACAAAGCAAAGGAAGAACAACACGTTACGAATGTAGCAGTGTGTTGTTATTGACTAGAAACATGGATTTAAGTATGTAGATCCCGGATTAAGTGGGAACCTATAAAAGGGGACATTTTGGTACTTCTTCGATCTTCAAAATGTACTTTTTGAATTTTATATAATATTGAACCTAGAAATATGAAATTAAGCATGTACAGCACAGATTAAGTGAGAACCTCTAAAAGTGTGCTTTTTGGTTCTATTTCGTTCTCCAAAAGGTAGGTAGGGTAGGTAGGTCGATAGGAGGATGTATACTACATCAAATCCGAAGAAATACACCTAGGCCACTATCGGGCCTGTTGTGCGCTCCTTATCATGAAAAAAAAATCACTGAATGAATTATTTTTCAGTGTTCAGAAACTCAGTTTCCTGAACGTAATTCCTAAGAATCTTCCAATCAGTGTTAGTCAGGAATGTTATTTCCGGAATAACATCACTTCCAAGATACTTGGATCTAACTTCGACGAATGCCTGGCAGTGGCAAAGAAAGTGCTCCAGAGTTTCACTGTCCTCTCCACATGCTCTACATTCGTCTGCATCCGCACGTCCAATTTTGCATAGATGTGCTCGTAGTACGTACCATCATACTAACTTCAGACTTGCTCATTTTGAGGAGATTTTTCGTCTTGCTCTCATCAGGGTCACCCCATAGAATCTTCGTGGTTCTACCCACTGTTTCATTATTCCAAGAGGCCTTATGGGATTCTCTCACCCAAATTTTTAGTTCAGCTTTTGTTGCGTCGAATGGTTTTGCGTTTGTCAGGTTAAATGCCTCGAGCTCCCTTCCCTTTAAAGCTATTACATTCGCCCTTTCGTTACCGACTACTCCCGAGTGGGCTGGTACCCATATGATGTGAACCTTACCTCTGGGAGAGTATTCAGTTAAAGCTTTCTTACAATCCAATACGGTCTTAGATTTAGTTCTATCGCCTGATATCGCCCTAATTGCCTTCTGGCTGTCGGTAAATATATTAAGCGCTGTGGGCGCCATATTTATTCTAATCCAATTTAAGCATTCCGCTATTGCTCGTACTTCTGCCTGGAAGCTTGTGTTATGATTTGGTAAACGGTGGTATATTTCTGTTTCTGGGTCTTCAATATAGAAACCCAGCCCCACTTTGTCTACCAATTTAGTGCCATCCGTGTAACAACGGATTCTTAATGGTATTTGCTCTAATGTTCCGCTCGACCGAGACATTCTATCTGGGATCAGCGTTTCAAAGTTTCCGACATATTCTGTGTCTGGTATACGATCTGGCATGACCGATGATTGTGTATAACCTTCCAATGTGTCCAGTATACATTGATGACGTGTCCTATAACCGCTTTTGGTCAGTTCGCCTAAAGTAAAGAGCCGTTCGGCTGTAAACGCCGCCTCATATCTTAAATATGTTTCAATGGGTGGAATATCTAGCAACGTTTCCAGAGCCTTGGTTGAAGTAGTACACATGGCACCACTTATACCCAAGCAGCATGTACGCTGAACTCCCTGTAGTAGTTTGATATTGCACTTTTTGTCTAAAGCAGTCCACCAGATTATTGAAGCATAAACTAGAATTGGTCTAATTACACTTTTATAAAGCCAATTTGTCATAGTAGGACTAAGACCCCATTTCATGCCTATAGTTCTCCTACATATCGCCCAGCACCGATGTGCCTTGTAGATCTTATCCTCTATGTGGTATCTCCATTTTAATTTCCGGTCGAGGATTACACCTAAGTACTTAACTTTGTCTGTCACTGGTATCTTCTTGCCCAGGAAGCAAGGTTCAGTATACGTAGAAATTTTTGTCTTTCTTGTGAAAAGACAGATTTCCGTTTTTGCCGGGATAACATTGAGGCCTCTCGGTTGAGCCCAGCTCAAGGCCGTATTCAGAGCCACCTCAGCTCTTCTACACAAGTAAAAAGGGTACTTTTTGAATTTTCTATAATATTGAACCTACAAACATGAAATTGTAGAGCCGCGATTAAGTGAGAACCAATAATAGGGAACTTTTCGTTTTTCAAAAGGTACTTTTTGAATTTTCTGTAATATTGAACCTGGAAACATGAAATTAAGTGGAAACATATAAAATGGGACTTTTTAGTACTTTTTATATAATACTGAACCTAGAAAAATAAAATTAAATATTAAGAGTCCAAAATTAGTAAAATGATTTTTGGTACTATTTCGTTCTATGACTGGTACTTCTCGGGTTTTATACACACACGTAGATTGATTGAAAATCTATGAGAAATAAGAAATAATATTTTTTTTAAATCGGGCCACAAACGAAGAAACAGTATCGTTTTGAAAATTGTGTTTTACTTTGGGGACCTCTGGCCACTCCCCCGGTAGAACTTAAACTCGACAACACCTCCTCTCTCCACATGTAAAATTTCATTCAAATCGGAATAACCGTTTAGATGTTACAGAATTATTTCTCTCTATTTGTTTTCTATACCACTGTACACAGATATGAAATTTTTCATACAAAAATTAACCGTATTAAGTTCAAAGAATGCAGTTAGCTGGGCACATTTAAAATCTGCTTTAAATTTGTATCTGTGTTTAACATGTTTCGCTTTGGCAAAATTTTTATGTGTAATTTGCAAATAAAACTATTTCACAGCTAATTTTTGTTTACTTTTCAAAAATATTAGTGTTCACATTGTAGCAAAAATATATTTGATACAATATATTTAACTGGTGTCAACATACATAGCATTAAATTATGTGGCAATTTTATGAATTCAGAAAATATTATAAAATCAAAATTTATTACTTACATATAATGATGCTCATCAACAACTTTCCATCCCTTTATTTGAGATAATCTATAGTCACTAACGAATACTTCAAGTGGAAATTCTGGCATCCAAACTATAAATTTTGCAAGTCCAATATATGTACCGTATTTTACGATTATTGAAGCATTTGATGAACCACGTATTTCAGAGCCATCAACGTATACAGAACTACAAGACGAAGAAACCTATAAAAATAAATCAAAAATTAAATATCTATATTATTGGTTTTCACGGGAATTTCCGGGACGGGGAATTCCGCAGAATTTTCAATCCCCAATACCAAAGAAATTGTGCGGAAATTCCCGGATATTATTTTCTTTAGTTTTATGTGATATTTTTGACAAAAATGTTATTTACAATAAATATAGATATTTATGTGTAGTGTTAAATTCAGAGAAGATATATTAAAAGGTTATAAAAACTTAGAAACAAATTGCTAATACATTATTATTTTTAAGCAATTTATTGACAAAAAACTGATTTTCTGAAATTTTCCTATGAGAAGAGTATTTGCAAAATTTGATAAAATGTTCTTTATAATTGGCACCTATAGTTTGACTGAGATGTGATTATATAGACGGACAGGCAGACTTTACGATGGGTGTAGCGACAATATTTATATTAATTACAAATGTGTCAAGTGACCCAACTCAAAAAATCGATTTGGATGAAATTTGCACCAAGGTTAGTACTATTGGATATTAGGCCAAATTTTCAGCTCTATCGGTCAAGAACTGTCGGACTTAGAGGGGTCAAAATTGGACATTTTGGTCATACAGGGTTTTATTGAAATGAGTGTAACTTTTCATCTATTGGTCCAAGCAAATATTGTCCAAGGAGTTCAGATAGCTATTTCTTAATTGTTTCTAAAATTTTTTTTAACTTCCTTTTTTAACTCAAGACTACGTTTTTTTTGTTGTATGTATGTATGTATGTATGTATGTATGTATGTATGTATGTATGTATGTATGTATGTATGTATGTATGTATGTATGTATGTATGTATGTATGTATGTATGTATGTATGTATGTATGTATGTATGTATGTATGTATGTATGTATGTATGTATGTATGTATGTATGTATGTATGTATGTATGTATGTATGTATGTATGTATGTATGTATGTATGTATGTATGTATGTATGTATGTATGTATGTATGTATGTATGTATGTATGTATGTATGTATTGTATGTATGTATGTATGTATGTATGTATGTATGTATGTATGTATGTATGTATGTATGTATGTATGTATGTATGTATGTATGTATGTATGTATGTATATGTATGTATGTATGTATGTATGTATGTATGTATGTCTGTATGTATGTATGTATGTCCAGCAGCTATTTTTGGAAGATTGTTGGATGATTAATCAGTAAACTGAGTCATTTTTCACTCCTTTTGATGACCTAAAAGTGATCAATAAGTTAATGATTCGAAAATGATCCCGATACAGTACTTTTTGCTTATAGTCCATTCCGCTTTAAAGACTACTTTGCAGGTTTTTTTTCAAATATCATACAAATTATTTGTTCTTAAGTCCACTTAGCCTATAGTCCATTTTCGTTTAAAGGCCAAATTTTCTTTGCATGCATAACTAATTTTGTATAGAAAAAATATTTTATATAGTCCACCCAGTTTTTTAATACTTTATTTAAACAAACTGGCAAACTAATTTTCTGAAAAAATATAATTATTTATTTTAAATTCTTTAAAAAAGAAACATTCATATAAAATTTTAAATGTTTTACATTCTTCTTTCTGAATACAGGCCTTAAAATTAATCTCATAATTTAACTTTTTTGTTTTTTATTACAATAAGCTTTTATTTTTTTTAAAGTGGTTTTATTGAAGAAAGTACATACTTTGTATATAGTCCAAAATGTGTATTATATCAAGATTCAGTTATTCAAAAAACATCTCTTATAAAGAACTTGGTTATTACGAATCCTCGTATAAAACGAACTACTTTTTCAGTCCCTCATTAATGACTCAAAAAAATTAAAAGATGAGTCAGAACTGATCAGAAGAGGTGCGCATAAAGACTCGTTTAGATGAATCGCGGGTAGGGTAGCATTTTCTCCCGAAGAAAGTATCAATTATGATCAGAAAATATACGATCATTTTAATGTGAAAAAAATTTAAAAAAAATGCTAGCTGGTTGTATGTATGTTTGTCTGGAAAGAACTTAAGGCTACTTTTTATTTCGAAATTTCAAGTGGGCGAGATGCCAGGCCCACTTACAAAATAAGTATTAAAAGTCTCATATGTCAGAAAGTACAACAGCTAGAATCGTCAAATTTTGTATGGACAACACAAATTTCACATCCATATAAATATATGGGTACAAAATTAGTGGCTTAGCTGTAGTGTAAGTGGAACCTTCCAAATAAAGGCAGAGTTCTCAAATTTTATCGGAACCATTTTAGTGTCAATATGAGTATTTAAGACAAAAAATGGGCGGACTATTAATAGGGGACGTGGCACCCCCATATGAATTTTATACAACAAATTTTTCTGTAAACTATTAGAGGTAGAATTTTCAAATTTAACACGAACAGCTTTGAAATCCATTTGGGGGGAAATGGGCGGACTAGAAATGGGGCCATGGTACATCCCACATAAAAAACTTAAATCTTCAAATTTTGTACGAAAAACATTGACATCGGTGTGAACATTTATGTAATAATTTAGCGGACTAGGAAAAAAAGAGTGGAACCTCCCTTATGAATTAAATAAAAAATTCGTTTATTTAGAACAGCGGTTCCCACCGTTTTTTACTTCGCGGACCCCTTGAGGAATTTATTTAATTTCACGGACCCCCATACATATTTTGATATCTTATTGTTATAAATAATTGTTCATCCGAAAATTGTTTTAGTCCTGGTCCATAAACCCTATAAAATATTCCCGTTCATTGAGAATATTTAGTATTTCGGAAATGTTTTCAATTGCATGGTTTTAAATATAGAATGACTTCTAACACGATGTTTAATTTTATGATCGTGAGAGCTTTCATGTTCATTTCTCGTCAAGGTAGCGAAAAGGTTTCTTTATCAAGTATTGCCGACATGTGCTTAAAGAGTCATGTTTCCAAATTTTTTTGCGATTGCATAGGAGTGAGTTGAGTATGTAAGCTAAGTTTTCGGGAAAATATGTGAAAGTTAGACTTCTTCGATGTTGTTGCGGAATGCGTTACCCACATAAAATATGACCTGAACTCTTTGCGAATGTACTGTGAATTTGGATCTTAAATTTGAATTTTAAAATACCTACGAATTATTTCACTGCGTTGTTTTGACTATTTACGCAAAACGCAATGAATTTTCTGATGTTGATTTAATAATATTGGACAACAAAATGAAGTTAAAATCTGTGTATCACGTCGGAATGGAATATTTATATTTAAAATTAACTAGATTAACACTTTTGCTTACAATTTAAAAAAATATTATGAAAAGGTCACATTTCTTCATATTCCGGGATACCAGTATCTGTATTTAATTCTAAGGCAAATCATTATCCGTCTGATATAAAAACCAGAGACAGTAATTGTTATTATTTTTATTTAAAAAAATTAAAATTACAAATTTTATTTGGTTTGTATTTCATTTCTCAGAAAATACAAATTGCTTTTGATTTGAATTTCTTATATTTTCCGTAAAAATTACTGAGAACTTTTTCAAATAAAAATCAATAATAAAAAACACAAATAATTTTTAAACCATAAGGCACAAATAAAAATCAGGCAATGATTTTTATTTTTTGAAATTAATTATAAAACTCATTATGCGATATTTACCTTTAAAAACACATTAAAAATGATCGGGTTTAAACAGAGATTAATAGAAAATTGGTAAAATTTCTTTACCGCTGATATCATCAACCAAATTTGCAGAAATTAGATTCGAAAATTGGAAAATTAATATTTTTTAGGTGATTTTTATTCTTTGCTTTGAAAAATAAAAATCATTGATTGATTTCTATTTTTTGTTTGAATAAATAAAAATTACTGAATGAGTATTATTAAAAACAACATAAATAATTTTTTATTGAAACAAATAGAATAAAAATCAAAAATAATTTTTATTTTCAATTTTTATTATAAAATCAAGAAAAAAAGTTTATTGAAGAAATCGATTAAAAAAGGTCTGGGAAATATTTTGGTACATTCAAAACATTTCTAGGACGATTCTTTCATACTGATTTTTTTAAGCAAAAATTTCATAGATAATAATTATTTTCTGTCTCTGATAAAAACATTTATTTCGATACATATACATTTATAAAAAAAATTACAAATCACGTACTACTTTACTTTATAAAAGTAAAACAATAAATTTGTAGGGCCTAGCTTCATCCTGATAAACGACCGAAACAATAAAATTCAAAAAGTCACCAACAAATCTGGGATTATTGAATAAAAATTGTGTATTTTAGTATTTACGAAAAAATTGGAGATATTTTTAATATTTTCTAACATATAGAGAATATTTTTTATTCATGATTTTTTTCGTTCGTCTTCGCGGACCCCCTAGGATTTTGCTACGGACCACTAGGGGTCCGCGGACCCCCTTTTGGGAACCGTTGATTTAGAAAACTATTAGAGCTAGAATCTTAAAATTTTGCACGAAGAACTCTAACATGTGAACATTTAGGAGAAAAATGACGGTCTTTTATTAGGTAAAAATAAAAATTAAATACAAAAATTCGTATATCTGAGGAACTGTTAGAACTAAAATTCTTAAATATAGTATGAAAACTCTGACATCAATGTGAACATTTGTGTAGTAATTTAGCGGGCTAGGAAAAAGGCGGAAGTGGAACCTCTCATATGAATTGAATACAAAATTGCTATATATGAAAAATTAATAGATTATTAGACTTTGAAATGCTCCTCCTATAGGGGAGACAGTGGCAGATTCGGCACTTTTTGTTTAGAGCTCTATATCTAAGTACTTATTCAACAGATATAAAAATGTTGTCGCTGGTTATTGTTCTAAGATAATGAATGATAAAAACTCGAACCAAAAACTTATGATAAATTAGTATTATATTTTTAGAGTTTGTCCAGTCAGATTCGCCGAAGGTGCCCCTAACCGGGATAGCTGTGGCATTTGATGGGGCACATTCGTCGCCCACATTCCCAAAGAGGATTATAAAGTAAAACTCCATTTA